AATTCCATGTTATCGATCCATAATCATTCATAAACCCCACGTATCACGACATAAGTTACATCCTGCAGTATAACGCACTAGCTTGAACACATGTTTTGTTTGATGCATTATGTATTACTGTGAAAATAAACCTTATAAAAAACCACATATTTTGCGTGTGTTTACGCATTGTGATAMTATGGTTTTCACTTTAGAACTAATAARACTTCSTGTTGAGTATATACTATTGAATATCTGMCCATGGCCATTTTAAATTATACTGATGTTAAATTTAAGCCATAGATGTATTAATGATCACAAATCAAATCGAGCTATCTATGTAAATTTTTTCTTTAACTCATTAATTAATAGTATAGATTGCATATGCATGTAAAATATCTATAATTCTGCTCTACAAAGAAAAAAAAACATATAGTTCTAACATTTTCAGAATTCCAGTAGTGAAAAATTATTCCAGAGTAAATCCACTCAGACATGATTCAAAATCATATTCTATTAGGTATAATATTATATGTTTTATTTTTTGATATACTTATATTATTTACTATTAAAAGAAGTTTTTGCAATACCTAAAACTAATTTGATGCAACGAAACTTAAAATTTTACACATCCAAGATCTATTGCAGTGACTATTTTGTATTGATGAGCTATACACTCGAATTTTATAGGCATGTAAAGACCAATTTTAGATATTTTTTAGGGTATTACAATCYATGTACCTAGCACGTTATATGTACGTTAAATGTATAAATAGAATTCATCAGCCGAGAATAAAAATTACGATTCGGGTTTCTGCCGCTATTGCCGTCATCTTCGTTTATCGATTCAAACGTTGCCAGGGACGACTTGCAGGCATATAGAGTAGCAGAGAGTGGATTGTCGTTGTCGTGGTGCGACGCTGATCTGCTGCCATTAGTCATTAGTCATTACAAACCACCTTACACCCATACATAAGGCAGTTTAGTAAAAACACGCAGCGATGATGCATGTGGTGACCAATCAATCAAATATAAAATTGGTATAGGCAATAAAAAATTCATATAAAAATCCATATTCAAAATTAATTTTTACGAATCAAATTATAGCGCACACACACCTACATAAAAAATGTACAACAATCGTTGTCATAGTTTTATATTTTTCATTTGCACGTCGGAAAAATAAAGTAATAGGTACTATGAACCCGACAGGTGTGTGTCTTGAAGAATATATACACAGGTATACACTCGTTTTACAACTAACCGAAATTCATTTTTAATAAATAAGTCAGTGTTGTTTATTGATAATTATTATTCAACTGGCTTTATTTTCCTTTAACAATCTTTTAAATATTATAAATTTAAACATTTTGAAGCACATATTTAATTTTTTTTCTTGACAACAATATTTAAGTACCTATATAATTTTAAACATGCTTTTAATACTACTCAAATAAACGTGAAACACGCTTCAATACACATTATTTAAAATTTTTAAAATTAAACAACTTTTTAATTTTTAATTATTCAATAATAAATTACAATCACTTTGACAATGTTAAAACAATGTCATTATCAAACAACTATTATTATACAAAATTATAATCCGATATTTTATACGTAGATTTAAATTATGGTAATCATA